TATATAAAATATCTTGATTATGGATGTTAAAGATGGCTTGTCTCCCAGACTACCTGACCACCCCAATACTTCACATAAATAGCCAACAGGTGACACAGACTAGAGTTTAGTGCCCATAGCACTCTTTTATGAACAAATGTATAAATAACAGAGTATAAAGCAATACAATATGAATGGAGGCCAGTGTCCTTGTAAGGCACTCAATGTATCCTCAGTATCTGCGTAATACGTAAGATAGGCCTCCAGCCGTACAACACCAACTTGGAGACAAATGCACCATTAACTGCAGATACAATCACTAGTACACTGACACTCAATCATGCACAATAAGGGGCACCATATGCAAAACAGATCCCTACCTAATATACATTTGACCATAATAACTGCCCTCATGGACCTTGTAACCCCGTGAGCTGCCATACAACCGCACACCACCTGTCCCAAAAAGCCAAGTGACCAAACAATAATTTGTTCAGTTAATAGGGTTGTGGGTGGGTAGTTTGGCCTACACAGCTATCTTCCAACTGAAAACTACATGATTCCTCCTTTTTATGATCCCCTGAAGCCCCTCCTGTTGCTCTCTGCCCTACCAATCAGGCAAATACCACCTCCATATTTTCCTTTATGCTGTTTAACCCCCCTGTATTCTGGCCTCTTTAAATTCAGTCATGTAAGCCCTGCCCATATGCTTCCAATTTTTTTGCTGTAGAAATTACTTTTTTAGTAGATTAGGGGAAGACAAGAGCTGTAACCTTCCCCCATTCTATTAAAAATGAGTAAGAAAACTTGTCTTGGGTTAATATCAACACTTTAGAGATACAATTCTTTGATCGGGCCAAACAAAATGAATGAAATGATCTTGCTGTTACATGCATGGCTAGTAGAGATGACCCTGGATGGATGCAAACCCAGTTCAACTGAAATTGCCCAAACCCACTCAAAACTGTGACTGCAACTCCACCCCCCCCAAATGGGTTGCAGTTGCAGCGGATCATTCCCTGCCCCTCTGTGATGTAAAGTTGCAAGTTAGACATTGTGCCTCTCCGTAACTGATTGGGCAGAAAAAAGGGGGTGACAATCAGAGTTTTGAGTGGGCTTTGGAAAGATTTAGGCAAACTAGGTTTGCTCCAAGCCCAGCATCCTCACTAATGGCCAGTAGAAAAAGCAATGCAAACTGTACAATCAGTGCAAAGGCTGAAAATTGTGGTGCTGACTTACAATGCACAAAACAATTAAAACCCAAAAACCTGCAACAAACTGACTGCACTGTAAGTCAGCCATGAAGTCAGGCTAGAGCAGCCCCAGGAGCTGGACAGAAGCCTCAGTTGTGGAAGGTGGCTGCCAAGTTCCCAGGTTCTATTTTAGGACTTGGGCACACCATGTCCGTTAAGCTGCATTTTGTCCTTTAACTTGTTACCGTACGGTCATTTTAAAAGTAATTTTCAAAATGATTTGATCTGCAGCTTTTACCCACATAATCCCTGGTGATCCTGCCATGAAGGTCGTTGTACAGGTACCTTCTGTTATAGAGTGACAACACCCTATCCTTGTCTTTTAGGATTTCCATTATATTTAATGGTGTCTGTTTACACCTGATTGTAGTGTGATTAAAGCCTAAAGCTAAAGATCCTCACTTGAAAAAAGAACATGACTTCCTTTTGGGGCAGTCATGTGTTTTGGTACTATAAACCAAGGAGACAGAGGAGATCCTCTGGAAGCTGCCTGTCCAGTAGTCAGATCACTTAGGGCCCGTTCACACCAGTTGCAGTGCGTTCCGGCCAGAACGCACTGCCTCGTATTGCGGCCAGCTCACTTTTTAGTGGGGCAGGAGGGGACATGGCGGGCCATTGAAGTGAATGGCACCATAGCCACGCCCTCCGGCCGCAATGCAATCGCCCGCGCGGGACTGCTTGGCACATTGTGCCTGCGGTCTGGTCCGGTCCGATCAAAATGCTGCAAGCACTATTTTGATCGCACCGGACCGCAGGCACGATGTGCCTTGCGAGCGCATTGCGGCCCGAGGGCGTGGCTACGGTGCCATTCACTTCAATGGCCCGCCACGCCCCCTCCTGTCCCACTAAAAAGTGAGCCGGCCGCAATGCAACGCAGTGCGTTCCGACCAGAATTGAGCCGGAATGCACTGCAACTGGTGTGAACTGGCCCTTAAACCGACTCTTTCACATGATAATTGGCCAGCCATAAAAATAGGACAAACCTTGTGGCCCCAGTACATTTTTTCCAATTTCTCTCCAGGGTGACGCGGTTGCCTGAATAAAATGGCGATGCTGCCGTACAGTTCGGCCAATGATTTTCCATCCAGCTCAGACAATTAAATCGATGTTTGTTGAACCCGGTGATGCTTGCATGTAACTTAAACAGAAACTGGCTGAAATTCTTTGGGGGCACCGGCGCAGAGGCTTTGCCCTAGCAGCGCAGGGCCCCAGCGACTTCGAGACAAGCTGGGGCCCCATCAGCAACGCATTAGTGACGTCACTTCCGGCCAGTCCGGCAGCAGAGGAGGCCTGGTGTGCAGGTAAGAGTAACTGGGAGGGGGATGCAGCTCTGACCAGCCCACCTGAGACCCCTTCAGAGCTACCAGAGACAGTCTCAGATGGGCTGTGCAGCATCTATGGGGGGCTCTGCAGGGTCACTCTCAAGTGGGTCCTGTGTCCAGCGCGTCACTAAGCCCTGCATCCAGCGCATCACTAAGCCCTGCCTCCAGTGGGTCGCTAATCCCTGAGTCCAGCGGGTCGCTAATCCCTGAGTCCAGCGGGTCACTAAGCCCTGCGTCCATGGGGTTGCTAAGCCCTGCGTCCATGGGGTCGCTAAGCCCTGCGTCCATGGGGTCGCTAAGCCCTGCGTCCGTGGGGTCGCTAAGCCCTGCGTCCGTGGGGTCGCTAAGCCCTCTGTCCGTGGGGTCGCTAAGCCATGCGTCCATGGGGTCACTAAGCCCTGCGTCCATCGGGTCGCTAATCACTGCAGCCATCGGGTCACTAATCCCTGAGCCAAATTCATATACTGTTCTGCATTGCTGTATGAATGTATTGTTGGGATTTGTAGTCCCCCTACAGCTGGTGCCATTGTACATTAGAGTGTAAGCTCCTCTGTACAGAGACTGATGTGACTGGCTCAGTGTTCTCTGTACAGCACTGTGTTATTTGCCAGAGCTATATACATGTATAATAATAGTGTGACTGGTGTGAAAATTCCTGATGGCTGCTAACCCCTCCAACACCCAGACAGTGATGTTTAAAATAGCCGCAAACATACTGGGGGGAATTTATCATAGCAATTGCGAGTGTTTGAACTTGCACGGAATATATTTGATGCACTCTGCGGCAGAGTTATGTTGCTAGTGTAACGTTTTCATAAATTAGGTTTAAGAAAGAAGACTTGTAACTTCAGGCAAAAAGCTTAACTGTCTCTTCTTGAAGAAGTGGTCATGGGTACTTCTTCTTTTTTTTAAGCAAGTAGATTTTTATTCAAAATTTGTCGATACAAATGCAAAAACATGACTCCAAACAGAAGTAGGAGTCTGCGTATACCTGTTTTTAACATACAATACTGGAAAAACAAAGTATAATAGCAAACAACATAGTCCTATGTCCGCGATGGATACAAGGTGATGACAGAGTGTGTCGATTGGCAATGTAGACCGTGGAGATATAGACAGGAATTGCTGACGTTTAAATTACACGTACAATGCCTATAAAGTAGATAACTGACATAGGTAGGATGTGGGATGGATCAGAACAGGTAAGAGAAGGCATGGGACTGTGGGGATATGGAAATGTAGAAAGGGCATCTAAGTGTAAATAAAAGATAAAAAGAAGTGTGGTAGGGTGGCAAAAATCAGGGTCGTCGGTTCCGGATCTGGATGTTCGAGATCAGCACACAAACGGACTCATGTCATAAAACATTGAGCTTACCCAAAGAGCCAGCGGACAGAGCTTGTAGGTACCACTTGGATCGTTGGAATACAGACATAATATCTTTCAATTGGTCTAGGGCACATTCAGATGTCAGGAATTGTGCCCAAGTATGGAAGAATTTACCGGTGTGTTTAGTGTCTAATTTGTGGAGCATCATAAGTTGATGGAGGGTAGTTTTTATCTCCGTCAACGTAGGAGTTTGGGGAGAGAGCCCATGTATGAGTATATTCTTTTCGATAGCTAGAAGACAATAGTGTCCCGGGGACTTCTTAAGTTGCGATTGTTTTGTAAGGTGATGCTCCAGTTTCAGACAGCCGCAGAACAAGTGCAGATGAAAACAGGTGCAAAAAACGTGCAATTGAAAAAGTAGTGCAAGCTCTGGGCAAAACAGGTGCAAAACGCGTGCCGTTGGAAAAGTAGTGCAAGCTCAGGTCAAAACAGGTGCAAAACGCGTGCAGTTGGAAAAGTGGTGCAAGCTCTGGTTAAAACACGTGCAGTTGGAAAAGTGGTGCAAGCTCTGGTCAAAACAGGTGCAGTTGGAAAAGTAGTGCAAGCTCTGGTCAAAACAGGTGCAAAACGTGTGCAGTTGGAAAAGTAGTGCAAGCTCAGGTCAAAACAGGTGCAAAACGCGTGCAGTTGGAAAAGTAGTGCAAGCTCAGGTCAAAACAGGTGCAAAACGCGTGCAGTTGGAAAAGTGGTGCAAGCTCAGGTCAAAACAGGTGCAAAACGCATGCA